TCAGTCCAAGGGTTTTTGGATCTCATGGGGTCCCTGCTCCTCACTACAGGCCCAAACTGTGGTGGATGAGTCAGTGTTTTGATGCAGAGACCCAAATGAATCTCTTTCTTCGCCTCTTAAGGGGATTATAGGGCTAAAGGGGCTTGGCAAGCAATGGAGGCAATTGTGCCCTGAGAGGATGTGAGTTCCTTTGCTTATGTGTGGGGTTTTGAAGAAGTCAGGCTTTCTTTGGTTTGAATAATTCGGTAGCCTCACTCTCAGTTAAAAACTTCATGTTCTGGATCATCCCCCTAATCTCTAATCAGGAAAAGACATTCAAGTGTCTCCACCGGTTATTTTGTGCCCAATAAACTGAGAAGGGTTTGTTCAGGTCAGGGAGTTTGTGAATGAGTTAAATTTCTGCCTCATAAAACTTTTTAATTGTAGCTATTCATATAAGCATGTTGTCTTGATGATTGGTCTTTTGATACCCTGTAAATATGTGGCATAACGTTTCCTATTGATAACTAAAAGGGCCAAAAACTGACTATGCAATATCAAAATTACCAGTGATACCTATCATCACACATATAGTATGAATGAATGTAGTATGAATGTAATTTGGACGTACTACATTCACCATGTTATCATTATCAAGTGACCTACCAGCATGTACGTCACTTCACTGCCATTCATAAGTCTTCTCCTGTCTCATGAGATAGTAAAGTGTCCATCATATGCACACTTCAGAATCTCACTGGAAGAAGTAGGTCATCCAGGTATTTTCATCTAGCTTACTCTGTCAATTCAGACATACTTATTTTCTTTACTTCATACTTTGCCTAGTAGGGGTATGTGATTTAGGATGCAGCAATCATGTTTTCCATCTACTCAAAAATAGTGATGGTATAATAAAAATATGGTAGTAAATTATCTGTGTGATATCCTGCACTGAGACTCACAAACACATGGGCACCTGGAACTTATATTATATCTTGTAAAAAATAGGCACACATTTTCAAAGATTTATTTTTTTCTTATGTTGCACTGACACCTATTGGCAAAATACAAAACCACATGTTTTTATCCAAATTACCTTCTAGTTAAAATTGTAATACCATTGTATTTTGTATTAGGTATTAAATTGTATTTTGTATTAAATTGTCACTACCGAAACAGTCATGACCGAGACATGCCATCATTGTTTTGGTAGTGACAAAAGGGAACACAAAATAATTTATTTGTGGGAAATAAACAAAATATTAGTATTTATGCAATGAAATGCATGAAACTTTTTTTTAAATAGCAAAACAATATTTAAAGAAAAATAAAATAATAATTAATAAGCCTTCTTACAAAATTATTTATTATTGTGTTTCAGTAGTGACAAATTTGGGGAGAGGAAAAATATTCCAAAACTTTCTGAAAATACAATATGATAATTAAATGCACAATTACTTGAACTCAGAACATATGGCCGATAAATAACTTCTGAACATCTTGAGTTAAATATTAGGCTTATATGCGTTAGATGGCACTGTGGTGCTTTAGCATAGTGCTTTAGCCTTGTTGAAGTGTGTTGCCAGGTGCAAGTTTTATAAGCTATATGGGCTTTTTTACCATTTGCTTATTTCTCTTGCTCGACCTGGCAACATTGAGTTTCTGGCCTTACCAGTCAACATCAGCTTCCTGAACTCTGTTTCAAACACGCAGCTGGACAAAATGGTACGTGTATATTTATCAGAGTAGGTTTCTTTATCAGAAGATACTCGTACTTTTTGGAATCCTTTTAAAACCATACGTCCGAGTAGATAGTTAGGCTGTTTTCCCAAAAAGATGGTATTTTAGCGCTGAATGGTCACATGACAGCAGCGAGCTAGCGCTGCTTCAGTGATTCAACCCAACAGTATCGAGTCAGAATCTCTTTTATATATATAAATAACTGACACTCGAAGTATATTCATCTCTATATAAACTAATTATGCGTTTTATTGTAGCAATGCTTAGTATAGTGTGGTAATGCTGAATGCTGACTCCAGTAACAGAATGCTAGCCTACAGTGGCTAACACAAAACTGTTCTTCTAGCAACTTAATGCTATATGATATATTATGAGGTTGACATGTTGTTTAGAAAATTAAAATGAATGTAGACAAAGCAAATCTTTTAAAACGCGTGCTTTGTTTTCTGCTTACAGTGTATTTTTGTTAGACGTAACGTTATAAAACTGAAGAAAACATTTTTGAAAATGTATTTGCGAAGCTGTAATTATCGTTCCAAAGCAGTTTTATAAAAAATAGTGCTTTCAAATCGACCAGTTGAAATTATTTTAGAGTCTTGTCTTCTTATGGGAAGCGTCAGCTTTAATTACCCCAATTTTCACACTAACACACTAACACTTCTGCAAGTGTCCTCTATTCATCAACCACAATCCAGCTAACATTCAATCTAATTTATGTTGACTTTTCCAGTCGATATCATTTATCCACTTAGTTTTCCTTCTGTCCCGCATCACCTTTAATCTTTTGTATGTTGTTTTTTGTCATGATCATGCATCCACATCCTCTTCCTCAAACCCTTCCTCACCCACTGTTCCCCTTCCTGACATCTGCATCGTATTCAGGCTGGTCACAGAGTAAGTGCATCTCCAGACCTCTCCTGTTCCTGGTTTTCTGAATTTTAGAGTAGTGCTGCTGCTTCCTCTGGGCTCCTGGATCTGGCACCATTTCTGTTTAGGCTGCTCTGGGTTTATGATGTTATTTTTTTTTTTCTAGAAAGCTTGCAATTAAAATTAATTTGTCTGCCATCATAAAATAGCTAGTAATTGAATTATCAGCTTGCAGAATGATTGAAAATAGCAGAATACTTATCAACCTCATCCTGTTTCTAAGCATTACAGCCACACGTTTTGTGGTTTGCATATTTTATGAACATTGTGGTGTAAATTATAAACACAGGGTAATTAGAGTATCAGTGAGACTAGGTCTGACATACCAGTCTCGTGGGAGTAATGAGTTATGTTTGAAAAGGGATACTTGAGGACTGCTTACAGCAGACTATATTCTAAATAGTGACTATTTTTTTATTTCAAGCACATGTAACATTATGCAACTATATATATTTCAATCAGAACCATGCTATTGCTGTATTCTCTTCAAATTTATTCAGTGTTTTATTTCGTTATCATATTAGAAATAGAAAAAAAATTAGTTTGCATTATAATATGATGAAAAAGTTTTCAGATGTCTCAACAGTCGATCAAATAATGAAAGATTGCATACGGTATAGGGAATGTTTGCATTCTACACATCATAAAGCTACATACTGCAGAAATAGTGAGGCTGCATCCAAAATCGCATACTCTCTTGAATAAGTACTATGTTCTATATAGTATGAATGTGTGTAGTATGATTTTAATTCGAACGGACTACATTCACCATGTTTTTATTGTCATGTGACCAGTCAGTTGCATCACTTCCCTGCCATTGAAGTCATCCAGGAACTTTTCACCTGCTGTTTAATTAATACTTTGAATTTTGGCATTTTCATACACTGTTTTTTTTTTTTTTTTTTTTTTTAATAACTAGCCTATATAGTTTGGAAATATGCCATTTGGATGCAGTCACAGTGTAGGATGTCAGTATACCATTTCAAAATTGTGTCAAGTAACATTTTTATTTAGGCTTGTATGTGTTTGATATCAGCCTGTTTTAGGTTCAACAAAGCTAACAGTCTTAGAAGCAGCTCTCTTCCTCAGCTTTGACTTGATTGTTGTCTGAAGAAAATTTCCTCTCTCTTCCAAAGCCAAAACATTCTTCCCAAAAGTATTTCATTAAGATTTTATTCAGACATCAATTCAGTGCTTGCGACCCCACTTTTCCTTCACTCTTGCCTCGCGTGTCCAACAACTAACAAAACGTTTGAAGAAAGCTAACAAGATGTCTTTTGCCATTAGCTGGTGCTTGTGTTAGGTGATCTGCACATTCCCCACCGATGCAACACCCTGCCTCCCAAATTCAAAAAGTTGCTGGTGCCTGGCAAGATTCAGCACATCCTCTGCACAGGAAACCTTTGTACAAAGGAGAGCTACGATTACCTGAAAACACTCGCTGGAGACGTGCACATCGTCAGAGGAGACTTTGATGAGGTTGACTTTTATTACCTATTTCTGTTTTTCGAAGTTGTTTACGCACTTTTTAACCATGCATATTTCTTGCTTCTGACTGACAGAACTTGAATTACCCGGAGCAGAAGGTGGTGACGGTGGGGCAGTTTAAAATCGGTCTGATCCACGGGCACCAAGTGATCCCATGGGGTGACATGGCGAGCTTGGCGCTCCTTCAAAGGCAGCTGGATGTGGATATTCTCATATCTGGCCACACACATAAATTTGAGGCTTTTGAGAATGAGAACAAATTTTATATTAACCCCGGATCTGCCACAGGGGCCTATAGTGCACTGGAAAGGTATAACCTTTACTTTTATCATGCTTAATCAAACATTAAATGCAATGTTACGTGGATGATTTGTGACTGAATTGTCTCTTTACAGCAACATCACACCATCATTTGTTTTGATGGACATTCAAGCATCCACAGTGGTAACGTACGTCTATCAGCTCATTGGAGATGACGTCAAAGTCGAGAGAATCGAATACAAAAAGTCGTAAAGAACGACGATGCTGTCAGCTGCCGCGTTTCAGGATGCTAATCTTGTCATTCCCTCTCACCTGAACGTCAGCATCGTACAAATGCTGTATCATAACGTTACACTATATTTCAATGTAATATATAATACTGTTTATATGTCACCAGAATGTCATCATTTGTGGTTTAAGCAGATGGTTGTTGAAAATGCAATAATGCTGCATTATTTGCATAATTTTAGTCTGAATTAGTCTTGTGAATATGTTATGTCCCCTATTAATTTTTCAAGGCCTATGTTAAGTCATCTTTCATAAAATAAAAGCCCAAATCACATGAGCAGTGTAACTATTTTTTTTTTTTTTTTTAGAAAACAGAACAGATTTGACAATTTATTAAAATATTTTGAAATGTCTTGGACATCTGGATTGTTTGTCTAGGATATGTTTTAAGAATGATTTTGTTAGATAGTTTTCATAAATGACAAAAACCTAGATTGATGCGTTAGGTAAGAAATATAAAGTCCTCTTCTTCTGATTCATTAAAAGACAGGCCACTCATGTGTCCAGCAAGATAAGAATCTGTTTCAGTCGCATCCCATTCAAAGTCAGCTTCCCATGGCCGTGATCCTGGAAATGTTAGGTCCGTTAACTCCATTCTGAATTAAAAACTGGAAGTGTTCAAAGGATCCTGTATATTGCACTATTTGTAGTAGAACAAACCTACCCTGTACATGTTCTGCAATGGTAGCTCTCCTTTTTCTTGGCTGTCCCATATTCGATTTTGCAAATCCAGAAGACACTCTGTGTGTAGTGGTTCAATTGTAAGTTAAGTTTACAGCTAAGCCTCTCAAAAGTTTTGCAGGTGGCGTCATATACTTACCTTTGATGATTGCCGATTTTAGGGAAAGTAGTTTTCTTGACTTTCTCTGATGTCGAAGATCTCTTTGCACTTTTTTTCTTGTTAATACTCTGAGAGATTGCCATGTGTTCTACGTCTGGGGTGTATGTCGACATCTGCAGTTTCACATTCACATGATGCACATCCGGCACTAAATATGAAGTATAAGAAAGTATAATATGTCAAATATTTCATTGTATTAAAAGTTCTTGCTAATACAGTCATAAGTCCCATGCTTATATAATATGATGTGATGATTCACCTGTCCGGATACACCGATGTAATACGTTCATATAATGTTGACGTATTAGCTGCCGCATGTGCTCTTTGCTGTAGGCCTCTGCGATACTGAACAGAAAACGCTTCTGTCCTGGTGTCAGGCCTGGATGCTGAAAATTAGAGTTTATTTAAATGTGAATTATGAGTTATTTGAATGTGAATTTCTTATGGCTGCTGAATCAGATATTGTCATCCAAATCATTGCAAATCTGTCCTTAAGGAAGTTTTTTTAATTACGTTTTCTGCAGACATATAAAAGGTACTCCAACATACAAAGTAACAAAAAAGTTTGAATAAGTCCTTTTCAGGTTTTTTTTTTTTTTATATATATCATTTTATTACCTGCATTTAGTCAGAATTGTGTATTTTTAATGGAATTTTATTTCATCTTCATTTCTCTTAATACATAATAGTTACACTCTGGACCTTAAGGACAAAAATATCCTCATTGAATCCCATTAAAACTGCAATTATTAATCAGGGCTATTTGAATATAAAATGATCCAATCTTTGCTAACAGGCTTTCATTCTGCTGGCAATCTAAAACTTATATTTATGGCTTTGATTTTCTAACAGTTTTTGAGTTTTCGAAAATGTGTTTTCTAAAATATATATTTTAATATATTTTATAGGCTATAAAAAACGTTCATACATAATTTTCATTAACTTAAACCTCTATAACTTTTTTTTCACTTCAACAATAATCTGCCATGGTCTTTAAATATTTATGACAGTTTTCTTTACATTTTTCTCCTCTACGGACCTTTTTTTAAATTGACGCACAAGGTATATACATTTTCATGAAATACCTGTAAAAATGGAGCAGCAGTCATGGTCTTGGGGATATGAATAGTTGTAATGTCCCGATCTTGTTCTGGCACTTGTAAAGGTGCAGGTTGTATTTTATGTCCAAATACTGAGTTTGTTTTTCCTGGATGAGGAGAGAATTTAAATGCTTTAAATATTTAGTTACAATTCACAAACTAGTTATTAAAGCAATAACTCCAAGATCATGGTTTACTGCACATGACAGCTGTTTGTCTTTTTTTCAACTCAATTGGGTCAGAGACTCTGGTTACTCTGTCCAAATTCTACAGGTGTAACGTTTCTGTAATTTACACAGATTAAGCTTGCTTCTCTGTAGCCGTATGGAAAAAACCTGTCAGGCTGTGGTGGAGATAAAATGGTTGTGTTTTGACTTCAAATTTACTATGCATGCTATTGCAGATGTATACTGCATTTATAGATATATGCAGCAAAAGACTTGCTATAAAAATGAAGTGATGTGATTCAGGAACTATAAGATAGTACAACCACAACATGCAAAATAATGCACTAAAGTATGTGAATTATACAAAATTAAAGCAACACATTCTTATAAAGGACAATAAAATATTTTAAAATGATCTGACACTATTATGATTTTAACTGGGACACATTGCTTTTGAGAAGACTAGGAAAAGTGTCCCAATTAACATGAACGAACCAAAGCCAGTAATCTGGACAATTAATAATAATTTATGGAACAATCTTACCAGTTTGCACATGGTTGAGACCAGATGGCCTGTCAAAACAGTATATCATAGGAAACACATTATGTGTATGTGACAACCACACAATAAACTTAAAGTAATTTCCATGTTATCATATTCTCTATCTTACCTTAAAGGCAAAAATGACTTTTTGTGATGCAGACGACTTTTATCGGTGTTGTTTTCAAGGAATTTAACGTGCTTTTTCATGCCGAAGTGTTACCTGAACTGTGGGATCTCAGATCTGTGGCATACAAGTGATATAAGACGACCTGAAATCCCATCCGATAATGCGCGTTTGCGTTTTACAGTGTTTTGACTCGCGGGCTTCCGTACTCGGTGACGAAAATACAGCATGGCAACTGTAGGAATCGTAAGTGGAACACATCGCGGAGAAAAATAACGTTTTTCTGTGCGTTTAGAGAAAACGAGATAATATCTCGTGCTTTTGGATCTGGAGAATTGACAATGCCTCGAAACGCGCAACTAGTGATGGGTCCTGCCGGAAGTGGAAAGGTAAATACGCACCAGTGTAACTACAGTAGTTGGGCTAACATATGCTAGTAACTTAATATGATTCCAAATAATTGTGATTTTTTTGTTTTATTATATCTGTGCTGAAGTAAAACCCTAAACAGACTGGTCTGTATTTCGCGAGATTAAGTACAATGCAAAAACCAGTGTATTGTTGCTTTCAATAAGGTGTAACGTTAATGATATTGATAATAAATCAAGAGTTATGTTCTCCTTTTTTCAGAGTACTTACTGTGCCACAATGATAGAACATTGCCAGGCCCTTAACCGATCTGTACAGGTGGTGAATCTGGATCCAGCTGCAGAACATTTTGAGTATCCTGTCATGGCAGGTAAGGAACCGGTAACGTTACATAGATAAACATTATTTACTCGCAGATCTTTTTTTGTTTTTTATTTAGAACATATGTTTCTATCAAAAATGTTATAAAGTTCATGAGAAACAAAGTTAGTCAAATGTTTTCAAGCTTTACAATGGTAACCTTTAAAGATAATGTCTTTTAAACAAACAGGCATTATCATTGTTTAACACGCATACAATAAATCCAAGCAGCACACTCGGAAAGAGAAAAAAAAGTAAATAAATATATCTTTAAAATTAAATAATAAGGAAATTATTACTTCCAAATAATAAATACCACAATATAAACAAATTATATTATATCGACATTCATTTATTAAACTGATGATTATATAATTTACTGCAACTGCAGTTAACTCTTTTTTTGCTAAAATTAATTGAATAGTCCTCATCAGTCTTAAAATAGATATTTAAGTGATGTAATAATCATTGCATATTGTAAACATTCAAAAGAAAACCTCGAGGTAAAGAACAATTTTACCTACAATCATCAATCGAACATGAAATACAATTTCAGATTTAGTGGTGCAAATGACAAAAAAAGTCATGATTTGATTAACACATCATTAAAATTGTAAAAATGCGTACAATTTGTGGAAACACAATAGAGTTTCATTAGTTACCTACTTTAGTTAACAAGAACTAAGAATGAACAATGCGTCTACAGAATTTATTAATCTTAGTTCATGTCAATTTCAACATTTACTAATACATTATTAAAATCAAATTTTATTAACATTAATCAGTATTTGGTAATCTTAGGTAATTCACTGTGAACTAACACGAACAAACAATAAACGACTGTATTTTTATTAACTAATATTAACAAAGATAAATAAATACTTTAACAAATGTATTGCTCATTGTTAGTTCATGTTACCAACTGAGAAAGTGTTACCCAATTTTTTATAACCCAGTATTTTATAACTGGTGTTGCCACTGCCCTTGTTTAAGCATTTGTCTTTTATGTTAACTTCAATACACCATCCTAGAGGAAACTGCATATAGGTCTACATTCAAAAGCTTGTTTTTTGGGGGCTGAGAAAGAACTCGATGGAACTTGTGCTCAATAGTATTGTTTCTATAGGCAGCTAGTGTTTTCTTAGTTATACAATTGCACTTGTATGCAGATATTCGAGAACTAATCCAAGTAGATGACGTCATGGAGGATGACTCCCTGAGATTCGGCCCCAATGGAGGACTGATCTTCTGTATGGAGTATTTCGCCAACAACTTTGACTGGCTTGAAGAGAGTCTTGGTCATGTGGAGGATGACTATATACTGTTTGATTGCCCTGGTAAGAGGTGATGTGGTAGATGGTATGGCGCTGTTGAGGACTGGCATGGAACAGTAAAGAGCATTGTGTCCTCTTGACTGCAGGTCAGATCGAGCTGTATACACATCTGCCTGTAATGAAGCATCTTGTGGAACAGCTACAGCAGTGGGAGTTCCGCGTGTGTGGCGTCTTCCTGGTTGACTCTCAGTTCATGGTCGAGACCTTCAAGGTAATGCTCGTCACACTGCAATGACAAATAATGTAAAAACAGTGTTTCAGTTCTATGAATTAGAAGTGAAGTCTCTTTCGGCAAGTGTGGGTTGGATTTTTTTTTTTGTAGTAATTTTGATTACGAAATTATTGAAATTGTAAAAACCTACATTTTATATTTGTTGTAATTCATTTTCTAGTTTATCTCTGGAGTTATGGCTGCCTTGAGTGCTATGGTGTTACTAGAAATCGCGCAAGTCAACATAATGACTAAAATGGATCTACTCAATCCAAAGGCTAAGAAGGAAATAGAGAAGTATGTTTTGAGAGATCTTGAAATGTGATCCATTGATAATTCACTTTTTAAACCTGCATTTGAGTGTCATAACAGTGTGTTTTTGTTGTTGTTCTGTTTCATTTGCAGGTATCTAGACCCGGATATGTATTCTGTGATGGAGGACAACTCTGTTGCTTTGAGAAGCAAGAAATTCAAAAAATTAACCAAGGCCATTTGTGGTTTGGTAAGTTACAGTTTTAAAGATTCTTCCTTGAGTCGAAGAATTGATAAATACTGGTATATGTACAATTCAGGTGCATATCTAGGGCTGAATAATTTTGAGGAAAAAATCCTTATTAAAAATGCATTTAAAAAAATAAAGCTTCAGGTTTGCTGTACTTGTTTGTTGGATTGCAAAATTTTACCAAAAATCATTGCTAATTATATATAAATATGACTATCAAATGATGAGGCTAATAATAATTATTATTCAGTATGACTAAAAATGTCATTATTATCGTTAAAAAAAGATAGAATAAATAATACTACGATATAAAAAGACTATATAAAATAGAATAATACTACTTCACTGTACACAAATTGAGTATTTATTATAAATATAATATTACAATAATTACAACTGTAATTTGTCTTAATACTTAATTTTCTGCAGAAACAAAAATACTTTGTTGGCTACAGGTTTATAAACGATTATTATTACAAATCTGTTGAATTTGATTTTATTTAGATTAGTTGTTCAGCCTTAGCATCTTCATTCTGATAACATCTGGTGGTAAACCTTTACAACCTTTTTTTAAATTGTCAAAATTGCACTGTTTTCTTTAGATTGATGATTACAGTATGGTTCGATTCCTGCCCTTTGATCGCACTGATGAGGAGGGCATCAACATTGTCCTGCAGCACATTGATTTCTCCATACAGTATGGTGAAGACCTGGAGTTTAAAGAGCCCAAGGTTTGCGCATAAGGCTACTTTCAACTACTGTATACATTTATAAAACCTGTTTATTTTTTAAATTAAAAGTTGTTTTAGATTTAGAACTACACAAAGTTATCAATTTAAACTTCTGTTTTCCATTCTGTTTTCTCTTTTCTCTAGGAATTGAATGAGGAACCCAGTAACACGAATTTTGATGAGTTCTTCCAAGGCACAGCAGATTCTTGAAATCCCACACGAAGAGAGACTACATTTATGTGTTCCACTAAATAAGAGTTTACTAAATAAGAGTTTCATTTATTTAAGCAATATTCTGTCATGTTCATAATATCATTGATTGGAGGTTGCCGGAAACCTGTGCTGTGTCTCGATCTTCTTAGCAGAGTTTTATCAAATGTAATCTTGTTTTTTTTTAGAATTGTCTATTTATTTTTGCAATAAAAATAAGGAAATGACAATGTGGTTTTAATTTTTTTTTATTCAGTCCTTACATATGTCTCAAAACGTTACAAATTAGGGAAACGTTAACCAGGCTATGCCATAGTGTGTTCAAGTGTTGTTCAATAGTGGGATGTTAATCTTTTATATTTGGCCATCCAGTCTTGATTACATCCTTGTTAAAAATCTTATGCACTTATGTTGTCTAGATAAGCAGCTCGCAAGGTTTTGACTGCCGTGACGTTAAAATGGGTTGGACATCTTTTAATGGCACACATATTTAATAAGATTTTCAAAAGAAATGTTGTGGTGGAAAAAAGTAAAGCAGCAAAGCTGTTGTTCTTTGGCGCCCCCTAGTGGTTATGACGGGATACTGTACTGGAAACTTCCTGTATCTGTGTGTAGGGTGGGACAGCGGAAGCGGCGGGTTGCACAGCTCTGACATTTTCATTTTTGCCTGCTAGGTTTGGGACATCGTACCAAAATGCCGGTAAGAAATATTTAAACGTTATGATTAAAACGATATACGCAATTGTTTTCTTTGTGAGCAGCTGCTGTACCGCGTTTTATATCTGGAGCGAACAAGAAAGATATTTCAGCATTAGCCACAGCGCTAACCTACACATCATCTTTCTCTAGCTATTTTTCTACAAATGTAACACTTTTACAAAGACATTATGTATTGTTCTTTATGCTTTTATTGCCAACTATACATGTATATGGAAGTATCAGAAATGTGTTGCGTGAACAGGTTTGTTGCATTTGTTTTTGATGCTAACAACTGGATTTCCTCATTTGCATTCAGTGCAATGAAAACTGACGGATTCTCTTCAAATATCGGTTATTTAAAATGAAAAGAAATATATATAATTTGCTATATTACAAAAGTAATTATGTATGGCTTTGATTTTCTCCCATTCTTCAGGCATACCACTCAAGCCTGATGGACACGGACACCAAACTGGTGGGGAATATGGCGTTATTGCCCCTTAAAACACAGTTTAAGGGTCCTGCTCCTAAAGAAAGTAAGAAAGTTTGCTTGATTCTATGCAGTACTGTGAGATCTGAGACGTGTGAGATTCTTCCTTAAATGGCATTATTAGTAAAGCCTATTTGACAAACCAGCTGTTCCTTCCTCTTTCCATATTCAGCCAAAGACACAGATACTATCGATGAGGCCATCTACTACTTCAAAGCCAATGTTTTCTTC